AAAAGGCTTTACTGTTAAAAGCGTGGAATAACATTAATGTTAATAAAAGCTCATGTTATAATTCATCGTAGAAGGTATAACGTTCCCACGTAATGGGAATGTATCGTAGTTCATTTTAACTAATTTACCCAGTTGTCTCTTTACCTATTTCCTCACACAATATTATATGTTTATGTAGCGCAGAGTATATTATAATATACTTTTCCCTCTGTGAGTATAACATTCTCAACGTACACTAACTTCATCGTCGGATCCGCAAGCTCGTAATTCTAACCTTTGCTACAGAGACTGCATCCACTGAGAGTATAATTTATGTCCCTGTTCATTTCGTTGTTTGCTTTCTTGATTCTCCCTAGCGAGTCTCCGTATTTTTAATAATTTATCTTCAAATAAGCGCCTGAGGTAATGTAGAATGAATTAATGATAGTTGATGACATTTGATCTTACAAGCTCGAGGCAAATCCAATCCTTCAATATCAATAATTTCATTCTGCATACAAAATCATTTGATAGGCAAGCTGGTACGTAATAGCTTACGATGCGTAAAAGCTCGGATGTATTTCCATAGGATGGGATTATATGTCCCTGACAAAGCGATAATATCATTGAGCTTGCAAGCTCTTTGAGTAATTAAAAGCCTTGAAAGTCTAAAATTTTTGGCAGAATAATGAATGAGGTATCAAACATTATGCTAATGGAAAATTAAATAATCCGGTGTATATTTTCTCGAGCAAACTGAGCGTCGTGTTCTATCTGGTATCTTACAACGGATAATAATAAATATTACATACACATAAGCGGGTAATAACTGTAGTGTGTGCTAAAAGTATCAAGAGACGCTGACGAAGCTTTTACAAACCTGTTATGTCACGTTTCACGTCAGTTTTACAAAAACTCGACGTGGTACGTTGCTCTCTGGTGCTAGGATTTACAGCTTCTGTAGATGAAAATTTTTTTTTTGAATAAATATTGCGAGAAATAGAGGTCACTGTAATTGCGGATTTCTCGTTGGATGAAATATTGGATTCTACTGTCAGTATAAAGCGTGGGATTAAAGGATAAAGACAACTTTGACCACCTTCTTTCACCGTTTGTCCGTCGGAGCTCGTAAGGATTGTCGAGGATTTACAAGTTTGCTATCTGATAGGTTGTGACAGAAAATAGTTGAAATTTAACCAGTTTTAACAAGATTTTCCGACCCTACCTTATACCTCTCTTTGCGAAGCCAGATGAACTAAAAAACCTTAAAGCTTGCGACAAATACTTGAGAGCTTGCAAGCTCAGTGATAATAATGCTTCAAACTGCTCAAAGTATCACTAGGCAGTGTCAAATATTTGAGCTTGCAGTAAATACGCCGGGGCTTGCAAGCTCAAGAGTATTATTGCTGAAAAATGTTTGAAATATTCAGTTGCTTGGAAAAATACGTGAGCTTGGGCTGATTTAGAAGTAAAATTGACAGTAGCTTGATAAATTTGCATTTAATTTGTAAGTTGGTAAGTTGACTATTCTATTTGTCGTCGTACAATAGTCACTTGCAATTAGTAGATGTTCTCTGGATGCACGTGCTCAGGTACAGACCTTAGCAAAGTTGGTTAAGACGCTGGTGAGATTGAATTCGAGGAATATTGACGATGCGGTTAGACTCCAGGGAACTTGTCGAATACATATTAGCACCCAATTCAACTCGACAATAATTCAATCTCGCATAATTTAAACAAGATGAATTATTTTCATTGAATTCAATGAAAATACATCATTGATAAAATTAAACTCGACGAGTTGAAAATCGCTGAAGACATCCGAGTAATAAATCTCTTGCGATATAAAGACAAATTGTATTACATTCTTTCGTATAAACGAATAGTATATATTGCACTCTCAGCTTGGTATTTTCAAGAGAAAATATTATTATAGGTACATAGGTACCGAGATGATACATTGAGACAATGAAAAATCTTATTTTAAATTTAATGACAACAAAATTGTTTTTCTTTCTGATTTATTGGATTTAATAAATGGAGCCTGAAGAAATAAACCAAGAATTTACCTTTGTTTTTTCTATGCTGCAAGCTCACTGATATTAAAGCATTTTCACCTTCTTTTATAGCCGTTCTGACCTTATAATGGTAGAATTTGAAAGCTTGAAGAGCTCCGATATCATTAATTACAGCAAAAATAACCTTTAAAGCTTACCAATTACCTCAATGTTCTCAATGTAACCTGCAAGCTCGACGTAATTATGAACTCAAAGGTATTTTAAGCTTATAAGGTAGCTTGTTAGTGAATTGTTTTGACCAAAAAAGCTCGAGCTTGCCGAAGTTTGTACGGGTGAATTCGATTTAACTAAACAATGATTTAAATTATGGATCGCATGTCTAGCGGCTCGTTCTCAAGTTTAAAAGCATCCTTAAATTTGACTCCCGCAATTTTTGAAGCGTATCAAGACACGAAAAGCGTCGTTTATTGCAAGCTCGATTTATTATTATTATCTGAATAGCTACTTAGTCGATTGCACATTCCTTTAATTTATTCCATTATATTTATAGAGTAATATTTTAGTCTTGAGCTCTACTCATCCCACAAAATACCTCCGAAAAATTGTATAGAAAATGTGTAATATTCGTAGTAAGATATATGTTATATAGATTCATGGAAAAAGACGTAATCTCGTTGGAATACAAAATGAGATAAGACGTCTAAAGGTAACGAGTGACATTACTTCGAGTCATGCGCGTTCCATATCTTATTTCACGAATTCAACGTTATTTCTTTTCTCCCAAGAACTTCTGAGAATTTCAATGAGTTATTCAAATGTTAAATTTCACTGAAAAACAAATAATATTTTTAGTAATCGAGATAAAGCTTGCAAACACGCCGCAAGCTCGGGTGGTTTTAAGTTTTGCGAGGCTCTAAAAATATGTAAGAACATTTTTTAGGTCGAGCTTGCGATGTCTTCATGCAAATAACCTCACAAATGCATCTTCAATTTTATTCCTCCGGCAAAAATTTACTTTTGGTGTTATTTTAAGGTTTCAAAGATGACTGTGGGATTTTAAATACCGGCTTATAGGGTTTTTATGCAAATTACGGCGTCTTTTTGGTTAAAATTTACGCTGATTAAAATTTACGGGCTTGGATAGATACTATCGCCTCTTCAGATGCTTGCAAGCTCAAACAGATATACTGAAGACTGAAATTTTTTAGTAGTTCACTGACTCACTGGTATGCACCAGTGCAATCAAAATACAATATCTCACAACGAAACCAGGTAGAGGTTTACGCTTGAATTTGAACCCTAGAGAAAATTATAGGGGTGAGCTTGCGGGAGCGCAGGCCAAGCTAATCCCACCGTATAATTAACCACTAGCAACCGTGGTAGGTTTCTCTACCCCGTTACTGCTATAATTCATGGCTAAGCTTCCTATCCAGTGTTGTTTCTCTGTTTCTTTTGTTGTTTCAACATTTTTTTCGTTAATTCACGTGGATTCCCTTTCCCGTCTAAATAAATCCTTATTTTCACTAAGCCCCAATGTTCACTGCAACCTTTCTAAATAACCGTCAGCTTTCGGAGTATTTGATGGCTTTGAATTTTCAATTCCGAACTTCCAAATGAATTTGAGGTAAATTTACAACTAGACGTTGCAAGCTCGGCCATTATTTTGATCCTCGTGGTACAAAATTGCAGATCGTCGAATAAAAATGTCGAGCTTGCAAGCTCTTGATGTAAATATTCGATCTTTTATTACTTTTCTATGGTTTTTTTATGCGATAAAATTAGTTAAATTATTTTTAGAGCTTTTAGTCTTAAAAATAAAACACGGCGTTAATTATTTACAAGCATATTAATAGGATGAATTAATAATTAAGTTTTAAACGAGAGAAAAGATTTTAACTTTAGTACTTAATATAATAAAGCAAAGCTGAATAGCTTTAAATAGGGATTTAATTACGCGGAAATAAGGATAAGGACTCGGAGAAAAGAAGTGAGGGAAAAAAAAAAGCAACCGAGCTTTTAGACTCGAGGAATAAAACGGAATGAATATTCCTTTTTGCAGAGGTTTGTCGCCCGCAATCACAATTTATGGTTGATGTCGGAGTAGTAATTCCGCTTTCTTCTTAACTTCGGAATAAGAGCTAGGCGATTGAACGGAGAAAAAAGGAAGAGGTGTGGGGGGGGGGGAAAGAGATCGCTGGTCTCATCTGGCGTTCTTATCTTGTTCGATATAAAAAGTTAGAATTTTAACTTCCAACTTCATTTTTTCCCTATCGATCAAAAGTAACGAGAATACAATCGCTAACTCTGATCTCACGCTTTTGCAATTCTCTTGAAGCTTTAAAGCTCTGCAAGTCTACTTGGCTTCAATGACATTTCCAAACGACTCACGACATTTCTTTAACTCAATTCCCGATTGGTCATTTTTTTATCCTGCAAGCTTTCAAGGTAATTGCTGCAAGCTCGATGTTTTTTCTTCAATTTTACATTCTATTTATGACCTTCCGTCGATTTATCTATGAGCTTGCAGGAGAAGAGCACTCAAAACTCGAGTTTCATGAACTATAAAATAAACAGTGTACAATTTTACTCTATTTAATACCCGGATATTCCCATGACCTCGTAAAGATCTACCTAGCTAGTTCTGGGTGACATATTACGGATTTTATCGTTAATTGCTAGAGTATAAAATTTATCTTACGCCTAGAAAATTAAAGCGTTAATCGATATTATTATTTAATCTCGCAGATAAAAAATTTTAAACTGCCGCAAGCTCAGTAGTTCTCCGCGATAATAATGCTCTACCAGTTCCTTTTTTTTTTTTACATAGGAGCTTTCGAGATCTGAATGAACCTGCAAGGTTCGTTAAAACTTTCGGAATGTAGAACTACTACTTCAGCACGTCTCCGCTCGAATGTTCAACACTAAATTAGTTTAAATAAACCCCAAACAAACAAAAGCTCTTGTTGTTACACCTTTTTTTTTTTTTATAAATTTTCTGCTTTTTGTTTCAGGCTCGATGCGGAAAAGTTTGATCTCATCAATGTAAGTAATTAATATCCTTTTTTTGCATGTAATTTTTTTACACAAAGCTTTCAAGTTTTTAGCTTTTTGATTTCTTTTAAAATCCAGCTTGCGATAAAATCACTATTATTGATGAAAAAAATTATGATAAAAATTGAATTTTTTAAATTCATATAAATTTAACGAGAATTCGTTTGTTGGTTCATTGAACAGACGAATGAATTTCTGGAATTTTAGAGTTGATTAATCACGAGAGAGCTTTTCAGTATACTCAATACCGCTAAATTCTATCCGAAATTCTATCGTTAACAAAGGATTCTATAGTTTTATTAGACAACGTGAATAATAATTCCTTTGTTTTATTATTTTAAATATTCGCAGCTATTCTTGTGAAATTGTTCGGATATTTTAGTTATTAAAATTCAAATTAATAATCATATTATTCCGGTAAATAAAATAGAAGAGAAGACTTTGGTTAAAAGTCGATAATTACTACAATTTGTGAGTAAACTTGTTATCATAATTGGACTTTGAAGCTGAGTATTTCCGTAAATATTAAACGTAAGTGCAAAGGTCAGAGCTTTTTTGTCTATAAAATTTAGAGGGTTACTAAAAAGTTCTTTTGACATTCTCCTGAACGAGTTACATTACTTTTGGTATAATTTCAACGGAATGAAAATACGCATTTAAATTTCAAATGCAATTATCCGCGAGACTCAAAAGCTTCTTACATATTTACAAATTAGTCATGCGGAATAAAAATAAAAGCGCTTGGAATTCATCTTTAAAATTAATTAATCCAAGTTTTTTTTTTTTAAGACGTTAAAGAAAGTTTTTATTAAACTTAAACGGCTAAGTGCCTTTCGATTTTTTGTGAGCTTTTTCAACTACAATAGCATTGTTATGGTACCCTTTGACACACGTCTGAGGAGTTCTTTTATCACTTTTTTCTCCAACGTCTTTTTTTACTCACCTTATGAGAGCTTTAACGACACCGAGTACACACTCAACGTTTTATACCTTAAGTGACGAGAATTTTTTACAAATTTTTCATTATGTTATTAAATTGTACTATTTTATTACGATGGATAAGTGTATTACACATTTTGCCCCAAGAGAAAAATACATTGTACATACTGACAAGAATTTTATTCAATTAGCCACAGCCGGATACGCGGGAGATTCAATTTGAGAAAAAATTACTCTTAAGATAGCTCGGAATTGATTAAAATCTCCACATTGTCTTGTCTGGAACAATTTAATATTTTTTTAAAAATTCTTCACTTAAAACCCTGCAAGCTCGGGGTCTATTGTTTGTATTAGGTCAAATTATAAAATAATAAAAAAGAAAATCGGTGAGCTTGCAAGCTTTTGAACCGAAAAATTGTAAAAAACTTAAAAGCCTTACAATTAGCATTGATTTAATTTTTTATATCGACATAAAACTTTCGGTAGTGATTTAGGCCAGTTTAAATATAGCAAAGCTTGCAAGCTCTGATATTTTTGCACCCTTACTACTCCACAGAAGGGTAATCCGTAATAAAATGTTTGAGCTTGCGGGTTTAAAAGACAATATATCAAATTGTTAATTAAAATAATATAACAAAGTAGAGTTAATTATCGCCTACTAATGAGAGTTTGTAAAAGTAGAGAGTGGTAGAGGAAAAATGGGGTCGATAGGAAAAGAGCATGAGGGTGAATGATAAAAAAAAAAGTGATAAAGAAGGACAGAAATGCAGAGAGTTGGTAGGAGGGGGGAATTTTAAGTGAAATCATTTGTTTCCGTGGCAGCTGGAGGTAATTCCGTTCATTTCTCTCCCGTTCTATTCGCAATTTCGCCTGAAAGATGTGGATTACTTTGCACAGTTAATCTCTATAATAATAAAAAAACAATAATTAATTTTTAAATATAATTATTTTCAATTCCAGAACACTATTTTACCCGAGGCAGTGCATTTCTGGGAGCGAACATTGATGGTTAGAGAAACTAAAAATACTATCCGCCTCAACCGGTAAGATATTGATTTTTCTTATTTATAATATTATAATAATAATAATTGATATTATTTATATACCGTTATTTCGCGGTAATAAATCAAGAGTAGTGACAGCGTAAACACAAATCTCGTGCATGCATATTCACTGTCATTGTGCTGAACATTTCGGTCTGTATGCAAATCACAGGGTAGGGCCCTAAGCATCATCCTCAACTATCTACTACTATTGCAATCTACCCGCAGCTGTACGTGTTAATATTACGACAAAATCTTGTAATATGCACGCGAGCTTGCACTTATATAGGTTAAAGCTTCGTACATATATACCAACCAGGTAGTATGTGTACCTTTTCTCGTGGCACATAAATCTTGTCGTACACGGCAAACGAGTCACATACCACACCACCGATTGTCCGAGATGACAACGATGAAGACTGATTATATAACTTTCATTACCGATGATAAAGTAGATAGCATACATCTTTTATTTAGACCTAACATTAATATGCAGCAAAAAATGGAGAGAAAAAAATTCTTTAACGACGAGTTTTCTAGCTTATTTGTCGTCAGACTTTGCAAGCTCGATAATATTTCTATTCTAATACCTTCAACCAACAATTTGCAACCATAAAAATCCCGAGCTTGCAATTCTTTCATAGAAAGCTTGCGAGTCAAAAGTGGAATTTCTATGAATAGTTGAAGATTCGACGGTAATCTATCTAATCTCGATGTTTATTATACTTACATCAATGTAAAGTGTTGGAAAGTAATAAGTTTTTTTTTTTTTTTCATAACTCAATTTACTTCAGCCGATATTCATCAAAATGCTCATCGACTGCAGTAAAACTCTACTCGATATAAATGAGCATTCAAGAGCTATTGAAATATTCCCAAGGCTTTTTATTCGTATTGATCCAACCTCACCGCACTTTACCCACTCATCTTTTCTGTACTTTTTCGATAGTTTTTTATCCTCATCATAAATATATATGTATATATATATATATATACTTGATAGACGACTGTGGACTATTTTTTCATTAAAACTTTATACATCTTTTGATTTTTATCTTCCCATTAGACTCTTTTTATTCTCCTATTCTTCTTTTTTTCAATACACTGAAAAACTTTTCTAGAAATAGAAATAAGAAGGATTAAATTCTTTTTACAAACAGTATTATAAATTATTTGATATATAATATTTACTACCTGAAAGTATTTGAGAAAACTTCTCAGAACTTATTTATTATTTTATTTGATGAGAAGCTTCTTAAAGCTCTGATTCACTCTGCTGTGTTATGAAAGTCTTACGTTGCTCGGGAGCTTTAATGATTTTTGTAATTTATTTTTTTAATAGCTTCATATATTATTAGTTATTTTAATCCAGTAACCGAATATGCATTAAAAATCTCCAAGCTCTTAATTTAATTCCTTTCAGATCACTTATTTAATTAACATATTGTATAATCATATTTTCTGTAAAATTCTCCGAAATCTTAAAAAAATAAAATGCAACTTCAATTTAGACATATAAAAAAATAAAATACGGAAGGTACGATAAGCCAAGGCATTGACGTGAAGTGTACGCTGACGAAGATTAATGTTTCGCGTTATATTTGACTGTGGAAAAGTCTGACATAAAGAGATTCCTCTGGCTGATAACCTGGTGAGATTAGAATACGTGGTACTTTTTTAGGAAATATATCTCCAACAAAAGAGACTTTATTTCTCGGTTATTTATGGTCAGACATCGTAAGCTCATGATAGAAATGACTTGTCTGATCATTCTGATTGTTATTGTGAAAAAAAATCACTGAGCTTGCGACAGTTTGCCTGTGAGCTTGCGGCTTAAAGTTTATCATTTAAGAAAAAAATTGTAAACAAATTACTGACCTCAAATTTTTAGCTTATCAACTTAAAGAATGATAAAATTTTCCGGTCAAATTTTCACAGTGAACATTCAACCGGAGCTTGCAAGCTCGATAGTTTTTGGATTTAGAATAAGTCAAGGAATATAATTCCGTTGGAATATATCTGAGCTTGCGATATCTTAATGGAAAGCTTGCAAGAAAAGAATTTCATTTCAGAAAAATCGAAATATCCTTGACGTAATCTTAATAGAAATTTATCGTAGCTTAATGTAATTTGACGATAAAGTATTATCTTGCAGGTGAAATGTTTTTGATGAAATTGAACCAAGTATGTGGGGTAATTGCATTCCTGTCCGGCGGATAAATGATCGATGGGCGTTAAGACAATGCCCGAATAGTCTAGTCTAGTTAATCTCCCTAGGAGGACACGGATAACCTCTAGATTAATATTTCGAGACTGTAATTATGCCAATCAAGTATTGTTTTATGTTTAATTAAACTCATATTACACACCCGAATTCATTTATTATATCTAATTACTTTCGTTCAATTATTTACGGTAGACTTGTTGCAAGCTCACTCTTTTGGAATTATCCTGTACCATTTATCAAAGAAACAATTTCTTTTTCATCAAAAAATTTTTAAATTTAATTGACAATAAAAACGAAAATATCATCGTATATTGTATTTCAATTCTTGCCTCAGCATTAGAACCGAGAAAATAAATATCAGTTGTACAAGTAACAGCTGTACTGTCACCCAGTAGACATTTGGTAGAGGTAATGGATTTTAGAGTACTTTTGAAAAAACGCAAGAGATACGACCGGTGAGAAATCGTGAATTTTCCAACGATCTGCTTGCAAATCCAAGCTCCGATCGTAAAAGCTCCGGTTGCAATTGGAGTAAACAAAAACAAGAGATAATAAAAAAGTTTATTTATTTTATAAATAAACAAATGGATAAAAAAGAATTCATATGTCACGGAAAATAAAATGCTATTGACGTTTACATAAATCTGCAGTTTATTCCACGTTGACGGTACACCTGATACCGTCACAGTACACTTAAATTATTTTACCTTTGTTTATTTTGTTTTGTCGATAAATTCTATTTTTTACTTTTCACGGCATACTATTGTCTACTGTCGCTTCAATACAATTGACTCTTTTGGGATTTTTCGGAATTAAACGCCTCAAATCCTGCAAGCTCGATGATTCAATTCTTGCTCTTAGTTGTCTACTTTACTTAGCTGCACCAAAAAGAGCCAGAGCTTGCGACTGCTTATGCCAAAGTTTGCAAGCTCAATGCTTAAATGGTCCAGGACAGTCTAAAATATCCTCCTGCTTAAGAAAAAGTCTGAGCTTGCGGTAAATACCCCAGAGCTTGCAAGCTTTGTGATTTTAATACTAACGTTTTTATCCAGTATTCTTGGTCATCTTGATCAGATAAATGCAGTGGTATAAAAATTTGTTGGATATCGATATAAAATTCTCGGAGCGAGGCATTTATCATCTCTATCTTATGCAGAGTAAATTTTTTCCCAGTGGGTACCCAGTAAATTTTTTTACCTCCCAGATTCGAATATCTGCAGTGAGTCAACTTTTCCAAGGATGTCAAATTCATCTGCACCATGTGCCTTCGAGCTTTATACGAACCCGTGCACACATAAATTTTATCTTCTCTTCTATAGCTACCCTCACCCCCTCTAGCGCAAAGAGTAGTCTACCTTATACCTTATACCTTATACCTCACTCTTACTACGGATGATATTACATTTTTTTTTTTTTTTTTTTTTGCATCGTATGTGCATAATATGACTTACTATTTCTTAATAAAAAGACTGAATAAAATTATACGATGATAAGAAGTAAAAAATACCTCTGCAGGATCGCGGGAATCTCTGATATTTATTACGGCTGACATAAGACAATCATTTATTCCTTTTTCTCTTACACGAATAACCTCAGTTATTTATAAGGATATTTTATATTTATGATCTGTATTATTTATTTTACAATTTTAAATATAAATTGTTAGACATATTTTTTCGAGATTCAAAATCTTCCAAGGTCAAATATTTTTTTTTAGCTAGATTAAGTCTCTTAACAATTTTCGACAAGAAAATCACTGAGCTTGCAAGCACAAGTGCGTTTATTACAAGCTCAACAATATTTATCTTCTCTAAAATTGATTCCGTTTCATGGGACGAAGTAATTTACTTACCGGAATTGAAATTTACCTCAGATATCTCCGTCAATCCAAACAGAAAAATCTCATATTCTTTACCTCCGTAATGTTTACTTACTTCTTTTAACTGCCTCGATACTCGTTCGAGTCGATCAACAGCGAGCTTTTTTGATCGGCGTTTTTACATCAAAAAGGGATGCAAATAAAAAATTAGTCAAATATTTATTCTGTAAATTGCTTCCAGTATTTCTTCAAATTTTCTTCTCCGCTTCTACATCAACTATAAAAATAAAAAGCTTGCAAGCTCAATGATATTTTAGTATTTATAATGGTAAAAATAATTCTCGCGTTGGATAAAGCGATAAAATTTAACGTTGAAGTTAAAATCAATAGACTATTTACTGTTCCAGTGGATAAGTTTAGTAATTGCATGCATGAGTTGAATATTGACTTAATTTACTATAGGTTGTTTACGACCCTTGGTAGTGAGTTGCGAACACTGTCTGCCCTCTACAACTCTCATTCACTTGTCTTACACGCACACATGTTAATTACAAAATACATATGATAGGGAAACACGGAAACGTGAATAACAATCACGGTCTTCACTTTGAAATTTCTTAATTGACTTTTGCTATTGCAATCACGTTTCATTTAAATCCATATCATGATTGGCAGTCTACGGTAAAGCCACAATAATTTCAAGGATTACATGTCTGATCATTGTTACAGGAAATGTGAGAGCAGCCGGGTGTTTGTAAAGGACCACCACACCTACTGCATTGATACTTGTCGAGCGGTTACCATGTGTGGTGAGGTTGTTGTACCGGAAGAGCATCTTGATGTGAGTATTTTTCATTATTGTTACATTTTTTAGTTTTAAATGACTTTAACTTTCAAAATATCGACTTTATCCAAATTTTGTAAGACACAAAAGATGTAATCATAGTTTAGCTCTTAAGCTTCGGGCTATTTACTGCAAGCTCAATCATTTATAAATGCCGAAAGGTAGTTTGAATATTTTCCAATGATGAAATGTGGCTTTCAAGTTTAAAAACAATTTATATCCTTGCTTATCATATCACCTCAGAAATATTAATATCGTTTGGCTGTATATCATATATTGACAATAATTAAATTACCAGTTTGAATCAATCGATTAATTAATTACATAAATGAAATTGTTGCATTACCTCGAGTATTCTGTTATTTTCAACTTAAATTAATCAGGATTATAAATCTCGGTTTAATTAAATTGATCGTCCGTCCGTGTCAACTTTACCAATAATTCATTAATTATGATTAAAAAAAAAAAAAAAAAAAAAAAAAATTTAAAAACTTAATAGGTATGTCGTGTTTGCAACGCAACTGGACAAAAGTGCCAAGTCCAGGATGACAGTATCGCTGGAGCGGGGATAGATGGCGCTGATTTTGTGTTTTACGTGTCGGCGCTGCAATCGGAGCGGTGTCATAATGGACTAACAGTGGCCTATGCAGCCCACTGCCAACAAGAAGCTGCTCTTGACAGGTAAAATGCTGCTTTCATTAACAGCCGCCATTTTGTTAACGATGTACACAGTCCTAAAATGGCCGACCAGCGGCCATTTTGAAATTTAGTTGATTTTTTTCCCAAAAAAATTCGTTTTTGTTGTGATTGTCCACAGGCCTATTGCAGGACACGCAAATTTGTGCCCCGGAAGCATCAGCACAAAGCCTCAGGAGCTGGAAACTCTTCTGAGCACAGTCAAACACGAAATTCTCCACGCTTTGGGGTTCTCTTTGAGTCTTTACGCGTTTTATCGCGACGAAAATGGAGAACCTAGGACGCCAAGACGGAGCGAAACGGGAAAGCCGCAGCTTAATGAAAAGTAAGTTGTTGTTTTTTGAGAATAAGCTTTGAAACTTTTGATAAATTTTTTTTCTAATAATTATTATATATACCAATCGAAAAAATATATTTTTTTTTTTTGTTGAAATTATCATCCCCCCGTAATTACCCATTCAAATTGAAGGCTACAGACTCATCAGTGGAGCGAAAACACGATAAGAACAGTGGTGAGGCCGCAGTGGCACGTAAGAGGCGGGACCGTCAATCGCTCGATGCAGATGATCGTAACGCCACGTGTCCAGGAGGAAGTTCGCGCCCACTTCAAGTGTCCCAGTTTAGAGGGCGCTGAACTGGAGGACCAGGGCGAGGACGGTACCGCGTTGACCCACTGGGAGAAGCGTGTTTTCGAGGTTAGGTTCTCTTTCAGCCTCAATCATTTATAAAAGATAACAATTATTGAAATTACAATTATTAATTTATTAGAACGAAGCAATGACTGGAACTCACACTCAAAACCCAGTCTACTCCCGAATAACCCTCGCACTTATGGAGGATACCGGGTGGTACACGGCTAATTACTCGATGGCCCAGGAGCTAGGCTGGGGACGCAGATTGGGCTGCGACTTTGCCATGAAGTCCTGCAAGGAGTGGATTACTTCTAGGTCTTCGAGGCTGTCGTAAGTTTTATTAGATTACTTAGAAAATTCGCATGATTGTTTTTTTTTTTATTTAATTAAATAATAATTGTCGGTGATTTTTTTTTTTTTATGCTAAGCGAGGAGAATCCTAAGTGAGAGACAGTTTATTTTTTATATTAGTAATTATTAAAGCGTGAGGATTGATTTATTTTTGTTCTTCAGGGGAAAGACAATCCATCCGTTTTGTAATAAGGTTAAACAAGATCCACTGCAAACTGAGTGTACTGACGACCGAAGTTCTGTGGCGCTTTGCAATTTAGTTGAACATTCACAACCGCTTCCGAAAAAATATCAGGTTAAATATTTAATACTGCCGTAAATAATTAATTCTATTAAATTGCACTGTACTTTCTTAACTATTGACGTTTTTAAAGATATAAACCCATCCTGATGTTACAATCATCAGTAGCTTTCATTTGAGTACCCACATGCATTTTTGATATATTTTTCATATATACATATATATAATATATATAAATATATAAAATATATGAAAAATTGATGTGGGTACTCAAATGAAATGTCTTAATGAGGGTAATGTCGGGATGAGGTTATATCTTTAAAAATGTCAATAGTTCACGAGATACAAGATGATTTCTTAATTATATGTATGTTATCTAAATACTTATCATAATAAATTGACTGGTTCCAGAACTTCGACTGGATCCCGCATGTACTCCCAGGAAAGGAACAATACTACGGAGGGTCAGTCTCCCTAGCCGACTATTGCCCTTACATCCAAGAATTCACCTGGCGAGCTAAGAACATCGTGATCCGCGGTTCCCACTGCCTCTACGAAGAAAACAATCCTCGTAAGTATAAAAATAGCTCTAGCTCTACCTTACCGACAGCTAGTAACAAAATTTTCCTCCAGATCCAGAGAAGAACTTCGCTCTGGAGAACTACGGGCCCTACTCCCGGTGCTTCGACCACACAAACGACATGTGGGAGGAGCGAACTTGCAAGCAAGCCCGCCAGTGGCAGCACTGGGGCTCCGGGTGCTACCAGTACAAATGCGAGGCCGGAAGACTTCACATAATGGTCGCTAATTTTACGTACACGTGCTACCACGCCGGTCAAAAGCTCACTATTAAAATAATTCAGAACGAGTGGCTCCACAAGGGGGCGCTCATTTGTCCTCCCTGTAAAGAAATTTGCCAACAGGAGCTCAAGGCGAAAGGCGAGTGGTGCAAACCAGGGGACGAGCATCCTCCCTCGACTTTTTACCACCAAGATCACTTACAGTGCTCGGCTGTCGGCAATTTACCGGTAATTCTACTCACTGTCGGTACAACAGTTTTATCCTCTGTGATTTTGAGATGATCAAATTTTAATTAGAAATTGTTTAAGCCGCCGTCATATCGTAATTGTAAATTAGGAAAATTAATTTTTTTTTTTTTTTTTTTTTTTTTTTTTTTTTTTAATATGTAATGTATATAGTTTTTAAAAATTGCGTCGGTAACATTTATTCATGGCTCACTTTTTTATTGGTTAGGTAGGAAAAAATATAAATTATTTACTTACGGTTGGTAAGAAAGAAAATTTATGTGCGGGCATTTTGTTATTGGTAGTCAATGTACCGATTGTTGATAAGTGATTGTACATACACAAGTATTTTATCTATTGATAATAATATTTTTAAAAATTATTTATTAATAAGTTTAATTTTAACATTCCGATTTTTTTTTAATATAGTATAATTATGTTAAGTAATTAATTGATTTATGAGATTATATGAAAGTATTTAGAGGAGTTCGGTGCCATTTTGTTCGATGTTATTATTAATTTTTATTTATTCGAACAATCTCAAATTGTAAGTAATTATAAATAATTTTATGTATATTGTAATTGTATCCAGTATGTTATTGTACTATTGTATGAATATTAATATGAATATTTTGTAACAGAATGTAAAATAATATAATAATTAATAAATATTAATATTAATAAATTGTTGTTTTTTTTTTTTTTTTTTTAAATTATAATATTGATATTAAATATTGACATTTTTAAAGATATAAGCTCATCTTGATGTTACACTCATCAAGAGCTTTCATTTGAGTACCCATATGCATTTTTGATATATTTTTCATATATTTATATATATAATATATATAAATATATGAAAAATTGATGTGGGTACTCCAATGAAAGGTCTTGATAAGTGTAATCTCGGGATGAGATTATATTTTTAAAAATGTCAATAGTTCACAAGATACAAGGTCATTTCTTAATTATGACACTTAATTCCATAAAAAAAAAAAAAAAAACCCCCCGATTTCATCATATGACTAATAGACTATCCTGAATTTATTTTAAAAATTTTTTCCAAAATTTAATTTTTTATTTTTTTAATACCTTTTAGTGAATTACCATTTTTTATATACAATATTAAAAAATATCTAACTATTTCAATCTGAATGAATAACACATTGATCCATTTACATTGAATTGACAACAGGCAATAATACTTAACTTTAGATAAAAAAAAAATTATAAATATACAATATATGAATTCGACTCTAGCCTTTCCTAAACACATCACACGTCACAAGCGTCAATGCCTTAATTACCGTAATTACAAAATAGCTAATCGTACCGAGAAAAGATACCTGAGCCGTAGAGTTTAGTTTCTTTATCTACGGCTTAACAATTCTTCCCCCCACTCTCCTTAAATAAAGTAAAATAAAATAAACTACACCAAGATAATTACACTGAAATTAAATTACTTCAGTTCTCATTTAAGGCCCATCAAGTGAACACGTGTAAAAATTTTAGTTTATTTAATAAAATTTTTCATTTTATTTATTGTTATTTTTTTATTATTAAAAATTGATTTAATTTTTGGGAAAAATGATTGAAAATACGGGAAATTGCGAAGCCGTCGGCTGTACGGGAGATGAATTTATGAGGGTAAGTTTTTTTTTTAAATTCATTTTAGTTAAAGTGATGAATTTTTTAATATTTAGATAAATATTTATTTAAATGAAAATTTGATGGAATTTTTTTAGAACAATTTTAAGAGTAATTTTTGTTAAATAGTTGATGGAAAAAAAAAAATTAATTTTGGCTGATGAAATATTGTTAAGAATTTTATTTAAGACTTTTGGTCAAAAAGAATTTTTTTTAATTTAGTCTTTGTAAAAAAAATTAATAAAATAAAATTTATTATTAATAATAATAATAACTAGCAACCTTGCAGTCACTTTGTGACTGCCGTGATTTGTGAATTATAATTAAATAATTACTTTTGTTAAATTGCACTGTACTTTCTTAAAAATTGACTTTTTTAAAGATATAAGCTCATTCTAGTGTTACACTCATCAAGAGCTTTCATTTGAGTACTCACATGCATTTTTGATATATTTTTCATATATACATATATATAATATATATAAATATATGAAAAATTGATGTGGGTACTCAAACGAAAGCTTTTGATGAGTGTAACATCAGGATGAGCATATATTATTATTAATTGACTATCTGTCTAGGGAGTAAAAAGGTTGTCAGTAAAAGTAACAGAAGCAGTGATGAAAAAGCCTAAGGAGCGAAAAGGATGGGCTAATAAGGCTGAGTTTGTCATGTCCTGTATGGGCTACGCCATAGGAATCGGGAACGTATGGCGGTTTCCTTTCTTAGTGTACAAAAATGCCGGGGGTAAGTCATCGATTAAAATTGCACGCCTAAAAATGCAAAGGCACTTTAATTTATTTAATTATTTTTTTTATTCAAAAAAATAATTAAAAAATTGATTTTTAATTTTAATTTTAACTATTTAAATTATTTTTTAATTTAATTTATTGTTTTTTAAATTTAGGTGCCTTTTTAATTCCATTTGTACTAATGTTAGTCACCATGGGAATCCCAATCTTCTACCTGGAGGTCGCTGTAGGCCAGTACTCGGGTTTAGGTCCCTTCCAGGTGTACGAGTCCCTCGCTCCAGCTTTTGGAGGAATAGGATTATGCACCCTTTTGGTTATTGCGCTGGTCAGCGTTTATTATATGGTTCTGATAAGCTGGATTATGTCTTATATTGTCGCTTCTTTTTATTCTAAATTAGCTTGGGGGTACTGCGATTATGAATGGAACGATCATGGTAATTAAAAAAATTTTTTAATTGAAAATTTATAAAAAATAATAATTTTTAATTTTTTAGCATGCTACAGTCAAATCCAAGCCTCAAATTGCCGTGAAGAAAATTCTAGCTCAATTTTCTTTAACAAAACTTGTCAATCTATAACAGTAGTTTGTCAAAATTTTGGATATCCTCACGGAGATCTTCACGGAAATTGTTACAACAGTTCATTTATCGTCCCTGTAAAGTCTCTGTACAAAAGGGTGTTATCCAGTGAACAATACTTCAAGTAATATTATAAAATTTTAATTTTTAAAAAGATAAATTAAAAAAAAAAAAAAAAAAAAAATAACTAATTTTTTCTTCTTTTTATTTTTAGCAATTACGCTCTTGGAATGAATGGCGCGACTTGGGAAAATTACGGATCTCTAAACTGGCAATTGTTAATTTACTTGTCCCTCGGATGGATAATAGTCTTTATCTGTTTGTCCCGCGGAGTTAAATCAGCGGGTAAAGTCGCGTATTTTACCGCCATTTTTCCGTACGTGATGCTTACTGCTGTATTGATTCGAGGTAAGTTCAAATATCCATTCAAAATTAATAATAATAATAATAATAATAATAATGCTTATTTGTTCTTAGGTGTAACACTAGAAAATGCGATAGAAGGTATAAAATATTTTATAATTCCCCGCTTTGAGCAACTAAAAAATGCTAGCGTTTGGGGAGATGCCGCGTCTCAAGTTTTCTATTCGCTGGGAATTGGATGTGGATCCTTGATCACAATGTCCAGTTTCAATTCCTTCACCAACAATTGCTTCAGGTAACACTATATTAAGAACTATTTTAATAATATATATAGTTTAAAAATCGGTATTTTCCAGGGACACAATTTTCATAGCGGTAGCAAACGTCTTCACGTCGGTATTCGCCGGTTTCGCGATATTCTCGATCCTCGGACACTTGTCGATGAAGATGGAGATGCCGATTCAAGAACTAGCCCAAGATGGAGGCTTGGCTTTGGCCTTTATTGCCTACCCGGAGGCGGTTATCCAGATGCCTTTACCGAACTTGTGGGCTGTTTTGTTCTTCCTGATGTTGTTCATCCTCGGACTTGGGAGTCAAGTAAGTTTAAATTATTTATATTATTTTAGTTCTAGTTCATGTTCTTGTCGATCTTGTCTTTTATTTTGTTGATCTCATTTTTAATTTTTAATTATTCTTATATAGTAGTTATTCTGACTCTTGCTGATATTGCTGATCTTATTGTATTTATAGTTCTAATTCTTGTTGATCTTGTTCCATGTTCTTGTTCTAATTCTCGTTCTTGTTGATCTAGATCTAGTTTTTCTTAATCTATTGTCATATTTTTGCTGTTGTTCTGGTTCTAGTTCTAGTTCTAGTTCTAGTTCTAGTTCTAGTTCTTATTGATTTATTGTCATATTTTTGTTGTTCTGGTTCTAATTCTAGTTTTTGTTGATCTTGTTCCATGTTATTGTTGTTATTGCTGTTGTAGTTCTAGATCTTGTTAATCTATTGTCATTTTTTTGTTGTTCTAGTTTTTATTGATTTTGTTCTATGTTCTTGTTGTTCTAGTTCGAGTTCTTGTTGATCTATTGTCACATTTCTGTTGTTCCGGCTATAGTTCTAGATCTTATTGTTCCAGTTCCTCATTCTTGTCATTATTGTTGTCGTCATCTAGTTCCAGTTCGTCATCACCGCCACTAACAAATAATATCTTCTAGTTCCCAGGTGTCCAAGCAGTAAGTACAGCAATAATCGACCTAAAACCTTCTCTGCGAGACAAAGAACACTTTGTAATCTTCGGCGTCTGCTTCGGAGGCTGGTTACTAGGCTTGCCAATGATCTTCGGCGGAGGAGTCCTCTTGTACCAACTTATGGACTGGAACACCGCGAGCTGGGCCGTGTTGCTGATAGGTGTCGCCGAACTTATTGTTCCCTGCTGGATGTACGGCTGCAACAAATTCATCGGCAACATCAGTGAGATGAAGATGAAGTTCAACAAGTTCTCCTACGGATATTGGTGGATCAACTGGGTCATCCTCGCTCCTTTTACTTGCATGGTAAGTTATCAATCATCCATTACCTAACAATGTTCCTCAATTGTTCCAACAAAGTAATATTGTTCCAAAACAATCTTACCTCTTATTTCAGGCGATTTTCATCTACCAAATGACTCAATATTACCCTGTGACTTATGGAAACTACGAATACCCTTATTGGGCGAAAGCCATCGGAACAATGATTGGTCTAAGTACTTTAATGCCATTGCCGCTGTATTTCTTCTATCGTATCTACAAAGGCCCGGTAAGTTTTTTTTTAAATAAATTCATTCTTTATTTTATTTATTTATATTTACTTGCTTTTTTTTTTCAGCGAGACATGAGTTTGTTCAAAGTAACCAAATACTGGGGACCTTCTAATAAAAATCAGTGGCAAGGATAAAATTTATTAATTTTTTTTTTTTAGTAATTAAGACGCTTGTTTTTATAACTCGATAATTTTAATAAAATTTAAACAATTTTAAATGGTCGGTTTTTTTTTTTTTTTTTTTTTTTAGTTAATGATAAGAATATGGAATCACTATCACCTGAATAACTATTTTTCATAAAAATATAAAATCATGGTCTTGCTGATTAGATAGGAAAAAAATATTAAATTTTTATAATTTTTTGATAAAAAATATAGTTTAAAAACTTATTTTTCTATTTCAATTCCCAGTTTTTTAAGTATTGAGAGGTATTCAATAAGCTAAATATCAGAAATACGGTAAGAATTTTTTTTTTGTTTTTTTTTCAATATTTTATATTAAAAACTGGATTATTGTTGTAATTAGTAGATTTTTTTGTAGTTTTCGTAGTAATAGTGTAGTTTTTAATAGGATAGTTGTTGTAATTTTTTTTATTACAGTTAAAATGAAGATTTTATCAAAATTGTTATCCATTTTGATAATAATAATTCCACTTACCAAAGCGGAAGCTCTTTTGGGGATCCATTGCAAACAAAATGGCGACTGCACTTCCCAAAACTCATATTGCAACGAAACATCTAACAGATGTCGCTGTACAGACGGTTACTACCCATCCGAAGACAAGACTAAGTGTGTCCTGTATGCAAAAAGTAAAAAGAAAAATTCTAACCGATAAAAACATAAATAATCACTATTGCACGCCTCATAACGCGAACCATTTATATTTTAGAAGTAGATGACGATTGCGAGAGAGACGTTGGATGCAAATTTGTGAAACACTCGTGGTGTGATAAACATTTTTGTAAGTGCCGGTCTGAAGAATTCCAAGCAATAACTGGCGAATGCAAGCCCCAAAGTCGTGGCGCATGTAACGCTGATGGAACTTGTAGTAATGTTCTTAGCGATGGAGTTTGCAACAATGGTCAGTGCACTTGTACAGAAAACGTTGACTACTTTGGGGCAATGATGTCATATTGTTCTATATTTATCCTGCACGTTAGTACCGACAGTACCGACTTTTGGTAAGGTAGAAATTGAAAGTTATCAAGGGTAAATATTTATGTTTAGATTTATATGAGTTCACCAGTCGTGAAGAGGGTTGTAAGAATTTTCCAAATTCCTACAAAGAGTTTATAAATCGTCAGAAACAATGTGTTTGCAAAAAAGAATACACACCTGATAAAAAGAATGATATGTGTCTCGCTGATATAGATATGGATTGTCCTGATGATAGTTATTGCAGAGTTGAACATAGTTTTTGTAATGATTGGCAAAAATGCGAATGCGATTATACTTACTATCCATCTGCAGATAAGAAAAGCTGTATTAAATATGGTAAATATTTTTTTTATAACCACTGAAGATAAAAAAAACCTACAATTCCTTTTCTTTCCTAGAAATTGGCGAATCATGTGACCAGAACAAGAATTGTGGTCCTTTACAAAACTCCAAATGCGAATCAAAAAACTGCGTTTGCGTAGAAGAAGCTACAAAAGGAACCGATGCTTCATCATCATACAGCTGCAACACAGGTTTCGTCCAACACAACGAATTCTGCTACGGAGTTCCTGGAACCGTCTGTTCCTTAACCTCCAAATGCTTGTCTTCTTCCTATGCCAATCTTGGAACCTCCTGCGGCCTGATTAAGGAACACAAGGAGAAGTACAGCACCTGCAGTTCCAAGAACGGATTAACCACCTGCTGGATGGACGACTTCAATGGCCAGTTAACTGACTTTGGAGTGTCTATTGGCGGTTCTAGAGAACTGATCTGCTTGGTGGAGCACCAGGATGGAACCTCGGTTCTGGGAACCGTGTCTGCTTCCGAATTTAAGTGTAATGTTCAGTGGAGCACCACTAAACAATCTTATGAGAGCTATAAATTACTTGTTGACACCCGGAACCTGGAGTGGAACAAGGACTACGCTCTAGACAGCGCCGTTCTTGGAGGAACTGAAGGAACCAAATTGTTCCTGATCTGCAGAACTGAGATTAAGATAGGAACTTATGTTCTAGGAAGATTGGAACCTCCCAATTACAAAAGGTATCATGTTTATCAAAATAGGGATCACTTTCAGTCAAAGTTCGAGGTACTGACTGTAAAAGGCGCTCCCTGTTCCAGTGAGAACTTCATATTTACTGGAGGGATTTGCAAGTGTTCTTCAGGATTCTACTCCTATTTAAGGAACTGCTACAAGATTCCTTTAAGTAAGTTCTAATTATAGTTCTTATCCAATTATCCAATTCAATTATCAAACTTTCTAGAACCCAATGTTCCTGTTGGTTCCTTTGAAGCATGTAGATATCTGAAGAATACTGTCTATTCTGGTGGAAAGTGCGTTTGCAAGATTGGATACTACCTAGATGATGATCACTGTTCCAAGATTCCAACAGGTAAGTTCTGCTATGAGAAAGTATCATAAAAAAAATTGTATTTTTAACGGATTTAGATCTGGAGGTTCCTTGTGATCATTGTCCAACTGATTCTTCGTGTTCCGAGAACTTGTGTCACTGCAATCCAGGATTTGTAAGAATGAATGGAACTTGCTACGGGTTCAGTGGTTCGGAGTGTTTCAAGGAATCTAAGTGTGCTTCTAAGTCTCATGTATGTCAATCGGGAATTTGTGAAGAGGTTGAAGAAAGAAAGGAAGATAATAAGTTTTGCGTAGGTAAGATCAATGATTAGGTCATTAATTATGGTCATTGATTATTGCCAAGGTTAAATTATTGACAAGGTTCCGTGTGCTGGATGTCATACGATGGCAAAAATAAGACAACCCTCGGAATCGTTGGAGGAACTGATGATACAGGGTCACAGTTTGTTTGCCGATCAGTTCACGGAACTGTTACAATACCTGGGGAACTACGAGCTAACCGCTGGATTCGTTGTCTTATAGTCGTAGGAACCGAGTCCATTTCAAACCAAAAATTCGACGTGAGTAACCACATTTTGTTTCTTTAATCCTGATGATAATTCATGAACATAACCACCTAGATGCTGGTCAAAAACGAAAAGCTAACCTGGACCAATTCGTTCCAACTGGAACAAGCTGTTCCTGGAGGAACTAACGAAGACAACAAGCCATACCTGATCTGCCGCTTGGAACACGACGGGCTGCTCTATATTGGGAAGCTAGAATCTCCATACAACCTCTGTTCCACTGGTGGACTAACGGTTCTAGTCTCTTCAAAGTTTGAAATTCTGGTTGACAGTACAGTTCCTGGAACATGCGAACCAAAGTGCTCTGCAGTGGATTCTGTTTGTTCCGATGGAGTCTGCCAATGCAAGCCAAGGTTCTTTAAGCACAACGGAACTTGCTACGGTCTCCCCCAAGCGGAATGTTCTGGAACTTCAAAGTGTCTCTCCACGGCTTACTCCTGTGAATCAAATCAGTGTAAAAAGATTGTAGAGGAACTGACGGAGGGCGCTCAATGCGTAACAAAGAATTATAAGTTAGTCTGCTGGAAGCAATATGATGGAAATAAAACTGATGGTGTTACTATACAAGATGTCGGCGACGCGAAAGAAAATGTCTGCCGTGTGAAGTACGAAAATCATTTCTTACCAGGACGACAGCCGGAAGGATTAGAGCAGTGTTTGATGCTTCTGGATGGCAATGTTGAGGTCTTTGATGAATTTGATGTAAGTTGTTGTTTGGTTTTTAGGTTGGAACTTTAGGGACTGGGCTTAATTAGGTTCCTTGCAGGTTCTCTCGCCCAAGGACAATTTAGAATGGACTAAGGCTTACTCTTTAGACAAAGCCGTTCCCGCGGGGGATTTTGAAGACAAACCGTTGCTGTTCTGCAGAACAGAAGTGTGTGGATGGCAGCGCCACTATTGGAACACTTGTTCCCCCATTCTACGACTTGTGCTACATTACTTATAATTGGAAAATAGCGGTGCATGATCGCTTTGAGGTTCTGGTTCTGAAGAAGAGTTATTGGATTATAAATTAATTCTTTTGATTTTGTCTGAATATAATTTGAGAGGAATAAATTTGAAATTACTTGGATAAATAAAAATGCGACAAGGAATTATTTTGTTTTGTTTTATTATTGCAAATTAGAATTAATAATGTTGATAATTACACTATCCCAAAATTATCCCGAGGGAATATTTCTCATCTGTCTAACAGCGGCAACAATTCTCGGATTGAACCCAACACTCCCCTCCAAATACTCTTCAGGACTCAATCTAAGCAGCAGCGCCACCGCACTAAGATTATCCGTCAATTTAAGCCCCAATTCCTCCAAAATATTCCCTAAATAATCAATATCCACCGCCAATTGTTTGCAACCTTTACCATCTAGCTCACAAATTCCCAAAATCTGATCCAAGAACATCTGACAAGCGTCTTTAGCAACAATTCCCAGCAAAATCCCTGTAAATCCCCCACTCCCGCTCTCCATATGATTGAACTTGTCGTCGGCCATTTTGAGCGCATAATTCAAGCTCGGATTATCCGTCAATAAAAATGGCTCCAAATGCTGAGGAAGGGTCATCAAGTACTGTCCAACCAAGGTTATAAATTCCTGAGGTATAAAACTGTAGTCCGGTAGGTCAACTTCATTGGCCGCCATTTTGTCGACCCGTCGCCATTTTAGTGTCTTAATAACCAGCAGTTGAGTGTAAATTGGTCCAAAAATTACATCATAAGTTCCTCGGTACAAACTTAAGCACAATTTATTAATCCGTTTATTAACTTCATCAAAATGGCCGCCATTAACCACGTCGGCCATTTCCTTTATAACTTTATCGCCATTATTCGTCAGCAACAAGTGAAATTTTCCAAAATTATTGTTACAATTAATTAATCTCGCTTGATTTTCATTAACTAAGGCGATTAATTGGCGATTTATGTCATTTATTGTCAGTTGAAGACTCCCAATTATCTGCATTAAGGTTAAGCACTGCTGGAACAGACCCCAGTTCTCGGTTCTAGACCTCCCAGAGCCAATCAGCGACAAGCAAGTGGAGTAATTCTCCAAATAATTAATCAGTAAATTATTTATCGACATTACCAAGTGGGAAAATCCGCAGAAATTCGTCAAGTTAGCGCACCGCTTGAAGCTTTCAGCCGCCATTTCGTGTACCCGTGGCACGCTGAGCGACAACTCGTGAATTAGCTCGCTAAGTTCGCCGCTAGATGGCGTAGAAAGTAAGTTCTGCAGGTGGTAAGTCAGAAAGGCAGTTTCGTAGGTGGTGTACTTGGAAATGAAGCTCACCAGAGAGCAGTAGATACTCTTGGCTAGGGCTAAAGTCGGTAAGGAACCACTCTTGGGCGCCATGTTGTCAAGCGAGTGGCTGAAGTTTGTTGCGAAGCTGTCAAAGATGCTTCTTAGGTTTATCAGGGATGTCAATTGCTCTGGGGGCGGGAACTGACGCAGGTAAGTTAATATTTGCGTCTCGAAGGTCTTGCTGAGGCTTGTTAGCAACTCGGTGTAGATTTCTAGGGTTAGGGTCAATTTTAAAGGGACTTCTGTATCGTTTGGAAATAATGCGGTGGTTGTTTTTGATTGTTCGGGAAAATTTGTTAACAGTTTATCGAAAAATTGGATTAATTGATGGGGAAATTGATCCTCTGAGCTGGATATTTTTTGCCATTCCGAGGTTAGGTTCACTCGGGTGCAATTTTTGTAGTATTTTTCCAGCTGGTCCAGCCGTGAAATTTGAGAGAAAATTGTCACGTAGATCCTTGATTGATCTGAGACAATAATTTTTTTTTTTTTTTATAATAAATTAATTAAAATTACTTCAAAAATTATTTAAAAATAATTACCGAGATTGCGGGTGGTGAACGCTTGGACCAACAGAGGGCTCGCGAGAGCTTCAAGTCGGTTCTTTAGACCCTCTAATTGGAGTTTCTTGTCCTCGTAGTCGGTAGAAGTCGTCAGCATGCTCAGGGATTTTTGCATGCTGAAAATCTTGCTCGAGATTACCTCGATGTCACCGGTTTCGAAGCTCTAGAAGAGAAATTAAGGGATTAGAAGTAGTGATTGGAAGGCTATGCTGGGTTAAAGTTAGGAAAGACTTACTTCTTCAACTTGGTTCGCTAGGACTGACCAATTGTCTGCTTCGTGCAGGCTTTGCTTAGCTTGTTCCAAGTCGGACTTTATTTTGTCGATTTTTGCCAAAGATGTTATTGAGATTGAGGTGTCTTTTTCAATCTAAAATAAAGAATATGATAGTCATATGATAAAATTAGTTTTTCTTTAATGAAATTGAATTATAATTAAGAAATGACCTTGCATCTCGTAAACTATTGACATTTTTCTATACCTTGGCAATTTCATCTTTGACAACAGACAATTTGTCTTTAAGAGAAGCTGCTTCTTGTTGAAGTAATTGAGTCTCTCGAAATATTCTTGGTAGACTTCCTAAAACATTTTGGCTTGTTTCTTCAACAGTTAAATTAACTTGTTGAACGTACATCTGTAATTTCATTACTAGCGAGGTAACGTATGCCTAAAAAGTATTTTTGTTATTTAATTTAATTTATTTTACAAGCTAATAATTATAGTTAACTTACATCTTTGTCATTTTGTGAGTTTAGAGACTCAAGTATTTTATTAACCCAATCCTTTACATTAAAATTATCATTTGAAAATCCTGCTATGTCCTAAAAAATTTTATTTAAATAATTATTATCAATAATAATTTTAAATTTTAATAATATTATATTTGACAATTAACCTCAGTCAACTTACCATTTTGATTAATATTAATTATTAACTATCCATTAAATTAAATAAAATTTTTGTATTATTTAAACAATCATTACGACTATTATTTTTATTATTAATAAATAAATAATTATTGACAAGTTTTTTCGAAAGTATACAAGTGAGGAATGAAAAATATATTTATAAATAAATAAACACAGCTGTCACTGATAATACGTGGAAGAACTGTCGGTAAAATAGTAATTTATTTTTACAATTGTTGTTTTTTTTTATTCACTATCGATAAAAAAGTATTTTTAATTTAAATTTTCAAAATATTTAAAAAATTTTTGCCGCTTAATAAATTTTTTGTATTATCTAACGATAATAAAAAATTTTTAAAATAAATCTGATAATTTAATTGATATTGATATTGAATAATATTGAAAAAATTGTTACAATAAAATTAAAAGAAAAAATTTCACATGTAGAAACTTTGAAAAATTATACGTACAATTTTTTTAAGTATTTTTTTATTTGCAATTTAATTATTGAAAAAAATAAAAAAATTTTTGAACGTTGGCTAACTTTAGTATCATAAATAATTTAAAAAATTTTTTAATTTTTTAACTTCAATAACAATAAAAACTAAAAATTTTAAAAATAAAAATAAAAAATTTAATAATTTTAAACCAAAAACTAAAAAAATAAAAAATTCCAACTTGCAGCAATTCCCCTTTCCTTATTATGTTAAACTACATAAATTCCATAAAATAAATTCCATTATACATATATTGGATTAAAAGTTAATATAAGTCTCCTCAGTACAGTATTATCTCCCCTCTCCATATTGCTGTGCGATAATAAAAAGTAAAAATACACGGCATCTAGCGGCGATTCCGGTGGGACGTTAGGCAGCGACGCGCTCAGTGCTGCCAGTCGATCTTTAGCCGTAGACTACGCAGCGTCGTAGCGTCGTGACGTAGACGTGTGTGCTGTGTTTTTTTTTTTTTACATACAATATACAACATAATATATAATACTTACCAAACTGTACACAAAATATATATATATATATATATATATATATAAAAATATTTTAGTACAGGATCACGATCTCACGACATTCCGGCATTTTCCACCTGATTGTGTGCGGGCGGGTTAACGCCATCTTGTACCACACGTTTTTTTGTTATTTTGTTGTTATTATTACGGCAATAATTACCAACAAATAATTTAAATACTAGTAATAAATTATATTAATAATAAACTGTGGTGACAGTACCGGATATAGTAAGTAGTGAATTTAATGAATTTGTTTTGTGAATAAAACCAATTCCGCTTATGTATAAACGACACAAAGCGTCACTTCATTTGTGGGGTTAATTTTTTTTTTCTTATCATTTATGATTTTTTTATTTTTAAAATTGTGATTAATAATTTGGATTATTAATTATTGTTTTTTATGTTGGCTTTAGTTTCTGGTTCTGGTTTAAAGTTTTTCAAGTGCTCGGAGTTAATTATTCATGTTTATTGTTTTATTTTATTTAAATTTAAATAATCTTTAAAGTTTTTTATTGGAGCTGAAGCTGGGTGAGTTTTTATTTTTTTTAATTAATTAATTGTAATTAACATTCATTTTTTATGATAATGATATCAAAAATCGTCTGACAATTTTTTTTTTTTATTTCTTACATATGGAATTTTTTTTTATACTAAAATTTACAGACTGTCAATTTTTTGGCTTTTTATAAAAATTTATGGAAAAATTTGGTCTAAAAACAAAAATGAAGTGCTAACTTTTTATAAAAATTAATTTAATAAATATTTGAGAATTTTATGAATTTTTTTTTTTTTTAATTATGGCTAAAATAAAATAAAAAAAAAAAAAATTGACATGTAGAAATTTTAAAAAGTTGAAAATGAAATTTTTTTCTAATAATTAATAATTTTTTTGTTTAATTTGAAAAAAAAAAAAAATTTTTTTATTCAATTGATTTGTAATTAAAATAAATAAAATTGACAGATTAAACAGAGTTATTTTAAAAAAATTATATTTATAATTTTTTAGAGCTTTTAATTATTAAATTTATTTAAAAAAAAAATTATCAAATTTCTCAATTTTAGTGTCATAATTTTAGATAAAATAATAAATTTTTAATCATTAATTAAAGAAATTAAAAATGATTTATTTTTTAGAAATTTTGTATTTAAATTTAAAAATATCTTTCAGAGATAAAAAAAATTATTAAATAGTTTTTTGTAAAGAATTTTCCGAGCTAAAAAAAATAACAGATGTTTTTTTGATACTTCTGATATTTTTGGAGATATTATTAGAATTATAAAAATTAAACATGTGAAATTTGTTCATTTTTTAAAACATCAAATGTAATTTTAAATATCTTGCTATCTATCAAGAATAGAAAAAACAATTTAATAATTTTTTGTAACAAATTTATCTAGCTCCAAAAAATTCCCAAGATATTTTCAAATATCTCTGATATTTTAAAAGATATCAAGGTTTGAAGGTCAAAAAAGGATTGCCGCGCAATACAATACTCTTGTTTTAGTTTTGAGTGCACGTGTGTTGTAGAGAATCGCGATATTTTTATGTTAGTCATACTATTGTATTGTTACATACATCATTGTCCCGTCCATGTGTGAGTTCATGTATATAAGCGGGGTTCAGAGCGGAAATAACAGAGTTTCTCACTTGAGTTTTAAAAAAATTTAAATACTAAAAATGATAATGATAAAAAAAAAGGATAATAATAACAATAATGTTGGAGTAAGCGAAAAATTAATTAAGTTGAAATTAAATTCTTGGAACTCATTTCTTGTCATTTATTATTATAGTTTTTTTTTTTCTTTTAAGAGTTTTAATCTATAAGAACGATGTAGTTTTTTATTATCCTGATTATATTTTCGATTAGATTTAATAGAATTTATTAATAAAAAATTTTTTTTATGATATAATATTTTGAAGGGGAAATTATATTCGTTTTATAAAAGAGTATTAATATTATCATGCAAAAGTTTATTTTTAAAGTTTTAATTTATAAAAATTGTCATTATTATTATTATTATTATTATAGAATTAGAATTATTATTCTGAAATAATAATAATAGTAATAAGAATGACAAAAATAAAGAAGAAATCTAAAATTTATTATTATTATAATATAACAATTTTTTAATTGACCAGAATTACAAAAAAAAATTAAAAGCTCCAATTTTTCCACTTTGAATTAATTTTCTAAAAATATAAAATAAAAAATTTATTTTATCGATCTATGATCTAAATAATAAATAAAAAATTCTTTAAAATAATTGAATTGTCAGGAAAAACAATAAAAACCTAAATTAAAAAAATAAAAAAAAAAAAAATACGTATATAATATTCCGTAGAATAATAACAGCAACAATAAAAAAGTTTAATTAAAATTTTTTCTATCGTTCAATTCCGTCCAATTTAAAAATTAAATTCATAAAGTAAAGATGAGATATAACCTTCCTCTTGCCTCTCCTTTCTCACTCCTCCCTCTCTTGGAACCTAACCTCCCCCTACCTAAAACCTTCTCCTTTCTTCCTCTTTCGTCTCCTGCTTCGTCTTCTCCTCATATTTTTTATTACCATTTTTTCTTTTTTATTTTTTTTTCTTTTTTTCATTTTAATATTTTTATTTTTTAACATTTTTATTTTCCTCCCACTCCGTTCGATAACAGCCAGACCCTCCCGCCTTTTTTCCTCTGGTTTCATTCCCCAGCAGTTTTTTATATTTTTTTTTATTTTCTTTTTTTTTTTTTTTTTTTGCTGTTATTGTTATTTTATTTTTATTCTTTTTGTACTTTGACTTTTTTTGTTATTAATATTAAAAGAGGGGCTATCCAATCGATATTAATTTTTTACTGACAACACAGATCTCCGCTAAGGATATTATAATAATTAATAATAATAATATTACTAGTTACTAAGTTCTTATAAAATATCATGTTCAAAACTTTGAATTTAAATTATAGAATAGAGATAAAAATTAATTTAAAAACTAGGAAGACTTTTAAATAGAAAATTTTCCGGGCTACAATTGTGGTATCAATGAAAATTTTTCTAAACACAATATTTTCCAAGTTACCGCCTTTTAAAGTTTGACAATTTTTTATTTTCCAAAAAAATTGGTTCCCAATTGTTCAAAGCTTGATAGCTTGGAAATAATTGGTTCTACTAAAATTTTTCAGAACCAAAATTGTAGCCCGGAAAATTTCCTAACCCAAGAGGACCTATTGAGTAGATCTATGACTCATATTTTAGGAGAAATTTTCAATAAACAAAAAAAATCAAAAAATTTGCCTAATTTTAAAAAACTCCAATTAATTTTTCTTCAATTCATCAGTAATTACAAAGAAAATTGTTGACCATTATATATTGTCGGATAGGAAATTTTCCGGGCTACAAAAAAGGTCTGAACAAAATTTTCCGTATCTCGAACCATTTAGCCGTAATAACAGTCCAAAGTAAAAGATAAATTATTTGTTCTAAAATTTCCTTGGTGGGAATGAAAAGTAATTATCTTATAATTATAAAAATATATCGGATGCACTGAAATAACTTAAACATTTCGTCACAGGTCGGTTGGTACATTTTTATTGGCTATATATTTTCCATTATATTTAATAACTTACGTATATAAATATAAATTCATAAATATATAAACTATAAAACTAATGACAAGGGAAATAAAAATTATAAAATCGTATCCGAGAATAAAAAAATTTAATTACTTATTTTATTAATGTATGTGCAAGATTAATTATAATTTATTAATAATTATAAATATGAGGGATATTAAAATATACAAGGGTGTTGCACCGGAAGTCAGATCTGTAACAAAAAACTTAAAATTTCCTTTAGAAAATATTATTTTTACTGTTTTTAAGGTACTCGGGTCAACGATCCCAATA